GTTTGTGAGATGTCATTGGACAGAGTTGTATGAAAAATATAAAGACAAGGAAAATGTTTTCTTTATAGTGGACCCGCCGTTCTATAACACATGGGATTTTCAATACCAAGTAGACTGGACTTTGAGAGACTCTTTAGAAACTTTAGACGTTATACATAACCATCCATGCTTTTACTTTACATCCGATAAAAGTGGTTTGGAAACCGTTATGAGATGGTTAGAGGACATACATGACTATGAGTTTAGATATGACAAGATAGAATATGAGAGAGGTCCTATAAACTGGAGAAAGTGTCATAACAAAGAAATTTTATTAGTAAGTAAATGTGGTTTGAAATAGGACTACTTGTTTTAGGTTTTTTCCATTGTGTCATTTATTTATTTGACGTGGCAGAAAAGTACAGAGAATATGAAGATGAACCAATGCCTGCAAATGTTCAGTATATGTACTCGTAAGAGATATTTTTATCTAATATTAAATGGACGCACAGAACTTAGCGAATGCACAGCAACCTGGACAACCAAACCCAGAGAATATTCCAAATGAAGTTAGAATACAAACTGCAATGGCAAACTATGGTCAAGTGCCAACAGATGTACAAATGCAAACTGCCATGTCAAATGACGCTGCGTTAGGTTTGCCACCATGGTATGCAAATATGAGATGGAAAGAGTTTTATACAAACCCTGAAGTGGGATATAAACAACTTTATGCAGATGACGCGAACACAGGAGTTGACCCAGAATATGTTTTCTACCAGAGGAGAAACAGAATGTATGAGCTCCAGTTAAAGAATGCTATGGAACTCAACAGGAAACGTAAGAGACTAGGCGGACATTAGATTTTTACATATAGTAAAATGGTTTCTTCAGTAGTATTGGAAACTTCTTCAGAAGAGTTGGAAGAGGTATATGGAATGGAATAAAATCTGTCGGAAGAGGAGTATGGAACGGTGTCAAAAATATTGGTAAAAGAGTAGGTCAGTTTGTTGGTATTATACCTAAAGACCCTGAACCAGAAGAACAAGCTCCTGTAATACAACAGCCTGAACCTGCACCACAGTCTAGTTGGCAACCAAATCCAACACCTCAACCGTATTAAAAAATTATATTTTTACCGTTCGATAGTAGTTGTATATGAAACTAAGTTCTAAGTAAAACGCATGGTATAATGGAATTATTCTTTTTCTTCCATCTGTAGTAAACCATACTTGAAAGTCTGAAATACTTCCACTTGGTGTTCGTATAACTTTGTAGGTTTTTCGTAAAAGTCATTTGCCAAGCATAAGAAAGAGTTTTGGGCGCCAGAAAATGAAGCATGAACAATAATAGCATCTTGGTCGAAAATATTTTCATATGTTCCATTAGGGTTTTCGACTTCATAAAAGTCTGGGTGTACTGGATATGCTGCAGGCTGATTTAACATCCTCATAAATCTATACCATGCCAAGTTGTTATATTTTGTAGAAATATAAACGTTTTCTCCAAGGTCTTCTATTTTATTGATTTTAACAGTTGCATTTTTCCTGTCATAAATAATATCGAGATGGTATTCTCCTTCGTCAATGTTATACTGGTTTGCATATTCGATATAGATATCGTTTATTTTTTCTTGAAAAGCTTGAAGAGTTGTTTCTAAATTTACAAGCAAACTAACTTGTAAAAGTTTTCCCTGTTCAAATTTCTCATACATACGTTTTTCTTTGTTATAGTATCGAACTTCAAAACCGACCGTAAATGGGAAACCATGTATGGCTTCTGAAATGAACTTCATTCTACGAAAGCCAATAGCTTTTGTGACAGATGGGTCTCTTAACCATCTTAATGGGTAGTCAAAACGATAGCCTTCATGCTTTACGGTCTCTGTCTCAAACTTTTGACCGACATTAGTAAAAAGTTCATCTAATGGTTTAGTTGTAGCAACTCTTGAATTTTCTTTTTCTATTGGAAGCATATTTTATCTATAATAAAAATGTCAAATGAAACAGCGTCTATGAGAGAAATACAACACAACCGACAACTCATTATGCAAGCTCTAAATAAGAACACAACAAACTTTTCAAACTATTCTAAGATATCTGAGTCATTGAAAGAAGGAAACTTAAAACTGACATTAAACCCAATGACAGATGAGTTTCTGTTTCAAGACAATAAGAACCATACTGTCTGTATAAATCCAACAAAAGGAACTTTAAACGAGAAACCTATAAATGAACTTCTTTTGAAAGCAGATGTTGACAACAAAGCTGACAAAGAATATGTAGACGATGCAATAGCAAAAGAAGAAGAAAGAGCTAACAATGCTTATGGAGTATATAAGAATTTCCGAAAAAGTGACACCCAAAAAGTGACACCTTCAATAGGGAGTAACACTTAAAAAGTGACAATTTAAAATTCACAATAAATAAAAATAATAAATTTTTTAGTCTATTAAATTATTCTTTTCTTTGAAATCATCTAAAAATTCTTCGAAATGTTCTAAAATATAATCTGGAGAATTATAACAAAATTCATTAATTTCTAACATATACGTATCTAACAATTCATTTGGAATTTCAAACGATCTTAAATATGTAATTGAATTTTGTATCTTCTCATTTATTTGAGAAAGTTTTTCTTCAGCATTTTCCAATAAAAATCTTAATGGATTCAAATTGGCTTCTTGATTCTGAACAAAATTTAATACTTGGTATAAACGTGATTGAACTTCTCTCTTTTCAATTTTGTTTATAATCTGTCAATCGAGGCTCGCGAATTCTAATTGAAGGAATAAAACCTATTTGAAGTAAATTGTTTTTAATACGATAAAAGTAATTGGGTGCAACTTCTTCTAAAAGATTTTTGACAAAAACATCAATTCTTTGATTTTTAACGCAGCCAAAATCGTGATATTTTATCTTTTTAAATAAAGATTCAGAAACGTTATTCAAACGGTTAATTCATTTGGTCTGGCAGCGGCTATCCACATCATAGCCAACAATTCCTTATACAAAATTCAAAAACTTGGGTGCAATCAGAACTGATTGCACCCAAGTTTTTGAACTTTCTTGAGGGAATTAAAGGGTGAGAGATTATATCTATCTATATATCTCCCACCCTCTAATTCCCTCCCTGACAGCGGGAAATTTTGTCTGAATGTTAAACTATTCAGACAAAGTTTCCCACTGTTTGCGAAGGAATTGTTGGCTATGATGTACTGATTCATGATCAGTACATCATAGCCAACAATTCCTTATATAAAGTTCAAAAACTTGGGTGCAATCAGAACTGATTGCACCCAAGTTTTTGAACTTTCTTGAGGGAATGGAAGAGTAAGAGGTATACATTATGAATATATACCTCTTACCCTTCCATTCCCTCTCTGACAGCGGGAAACTTTGTCTGAATGTTAAACTATTCAGACAAAGTTTCCCGCTGTCAGCGAAAGAATTGTTCCATCTGGTGCATAGAGTGTGAATCTATGCACCAAATGGAGCAAGTCCCTCGCGAAATTGCCAAAACTTGCGTCGCATTTCAAAGATTGCGACCCAAATTTTGGCGATTTCTAGTAGAGATGGAGTATTTTGAGTCACTGACCTATATGCAGTGGCTCAAAGGGCTCCATCTCTACTTTGAAGCAAGGAAACTTTCCTTCGAAATTTTGATAATTTGAAGAAAGTTTTCAAGCAATTAACAAAGGATTACTCGCTATGAGGTAAAAATTCTAGATTTTCACCTCATAGCGAGAGCTTCCCTTTCATTGCTTGAAAACTTTCCCCAGCTTCAAAATTGGGGAAAGGGCTGTAAAGTCGACTCCAGCGGTACCAGAGTATTTAAAAGAGAAGCCCTCGTACGAGTTTCTATGAAGACCTTCTCATTCAAGAAGATCTTAATAGAAAATCGTACGAGGGCATTGGAAACTCGCGTCTGGTACATGTTGGTACCAGAGTGTTTGAGATTTGAAGACTCTGGTACTAACATGTACCAGAATTTATGATGAATTTAAGATGGACCATTATAAAATGGTAGCGGTTTGTTTCAAAAAATTTTAGATGAGATTTGCATAGATATAGATTATATGATTTATACATATGAAAAATAATATATAAAAATATAATTTTGAGATAATTATGTAAATAATATTTTAAATATTTGAATTTGAGGTATAATTTTATAGTAAAATATATTATAAAGAGTATTTATATAAATATTGTAAAATAATATAAGTAATAAAAATTGAGACCCCCTCCCTGTTTTTGATGTTTTGTCACTTTTTCGGTAATTCTTATTGTTTCGATGTTGACAACAAAGCTGACAAAGAATATGTAGACGATGCAATAGCAAAAGAAGAAGAAAGAGCTAACAATGCTTATGCAACAAAAGAACATACTCATCCTGAACTAGCAGACAAAACATATGTTGACAATAAAATGTCAAGTGAAGTGACAAGAGCTGAAAACGAATATTCTAAAAAGACTCATATACATTCTATATCTGATATTACAAACTTACAAGAAACCTTAAACAGGAAAAGTGACGTTGGACATACACATACCATTGCAAATATTACAAACTTACAAGAAACCTTAAACAGGAAAAGTGACGTTGGACATACACATACCATTGCAAATATTACAAACTTACAAGAAACCTTAAACAGGAAAAGTGACGTTGGACATACACATTCTATATCTGAAATAACAGACTTAAACGTTAGCCTTGAGAAGAAAGCAGATAAAACATATGTTAACGAAATATACCAAAGTTTGATAGGAACAACAAAAAATATTGAAACTATTGTTGGGGATGTTTCTGTCTATGAAGAAAACAAATATTTTAGATGGGAGTTTGTACAGTCCTTAAGAAATGGTATACGGTATAAACTCATTCCGAAAAATAACAATGAAATGTATGTAAGCTATATAAAGAATGATGGTACACAAGTTAAAGTTCCATTAGACAACAACTGTTACTTAAACTTATATGGAGACGAACAAAAGAAATATTTAAGAGTTTATGAAATGACAGATATGACATTGCCTGACCCAGCTCCAGTACCATATTATTATGACTATGGAGATGACGGCGGAGCACTACATGCAGATGAACAAAAGTTAACATTATATTTAGATTATTATAGATATAAAAGATATAATGCAATAGAAAAAACGAGAATAGTATATTATTATATAGATGACAAAAATAAATATTATAGTCAAGATTTTACCTACCCTGAAAACATAAGATTATATTATAAAAAATATTCTGACACAAACCAGAAGAAACCTGAAATAGTTGCACTATATTTTAAGTTCAAAAGAGACAATCCTATATTATCTCATATGTTTGATTTAATGAACCCAGTAGGTTCTATTTATACATCTATGGAAGCAAGAGGTCCTCAAGTAATGTTTGGTGTTGGTGCATGGGAACAAATAGTCGACAGGTTTTTGTATTGTGCAAACTCTTCAAAGGAAACAGGTGGAAGTAAAACGATTTCAGGTGAAAATTTACCTGCACACAGTCACTACATAGATTTAAGCACATCTCAAGCGGGTTGGCATAAGCATAGATATTGGGATTGGCACGGCTTGACAAAAGGTAAAGGATATGATGCTAAAGACAATGCAACATTCGCTATTAACTATTACTGGGATGACACTCAGGGAGAAGGAAACCATACACATTTCGTTTCAGGATATACGCAAACAACGGGACAAAGTAAAGAATACATGCCACCTTACATGACAGTTTACGCATGGTATAGAATTGCTTAGTCGTCATTTTCAACTTCTTTAGCATATTCGTCAGGAGTTGTCTTATATTTGTTAGGAACTGTCTTTGAAAGTATACCACCTTGAACTTTGACAAGTTTGAAACGAGGTCTGGCAATAGTAGTTTTATCTTCTGCTTGCAGTGTGTACATTTTGCCATGTTTGCCTAAAACTTCATAATATTCTCTTGTATACTTTCTTCTATTTTTACGAACACGAATGTGAGTACCTGTCGGGTTCCCATTGTTGTCATAGTCAATAGTATTTTCATATGGGTCGCGTTTAGGTATTTCTATTTTTACTTTGTCACCTTTCTGAAGTTTGAAGCCCGGCATTCTTTCTTGTTTGTCTCTTTTGACTAAATTATTAAATATATAGTCTTTCTCTAAGTCAGGGTTGTTTTTCATTTCTTCGGGGGAGTGGTTTCCCAAACCTTTTTGTTTACGGTTATTGTAAATATTTAAAACTTGTCTCATCTTTGCCATGGAGAAATGTCTATACTTGTCGTCATATGACATTTCATTTGCTTCACCACCTTGTGGTTGGTTTAAGTCTCTTAACATTTTTATACAACCGTCAATGACACCAAGAGCAGAATGGTTTTGGTCGACAATGAAATATTGGTTTACATTTTTTGAACGCAGATAGTTTTTTACATCATCTGATTTGAAAGAACTTTCACAGTCAGATGTCAGTTTTGTTGGATGGTATTTGTCAACGAATATTGTCAAAGCAGTTTTCACATCTAAAATATTTTTGGACCATAATGGTATGGCTTCACAGTATCTTGTGTTTTGACCAACAAATATTAACCAGTATGGTGGTCCATCTGTTCTAACTCTCGGAATGTTTTCCAAGATATCCATAAACCAAGCATTTGGTGTTGAACTAAAGATTTTTACCATGAGTGCTTTCTTTGTCGCTTTAGAAACATAGGGGTCCTTGTTTGGATTCGTCATTTTTTATCCTATAAGAAATGGGTTTATTTGGCGCATTAGCAGGAGTCGCATCTAGATTTTTGCCCGGAGTGGGAACAATAGCTAGAGGTGTATTTGGAGTTGGAAGGAAGATTTTGAGTACATTAGGTATACTTAAAGAGAAAGCACAACCTATTATACAAACTGTACAGAAAGGTTGGGATGTAGCACGAGATGCAACAAATCTTATTCCAAATCCTGAAACAAGAGGAAAAGTTCAAGGATGGATGGACAATGTAGGAAGCCAAGAAGGAAACTATTATAACAAAGCAAATGACTACTATAACCAAGCAGGACACTATATGGACCAAGGTGAAAGATTCTTTAACAGAGGATATAACCATGCACAACAATGGGTAAACAATAACCAACCTCAACCGCCTCAAACGTGGGGAATGTAAAGTTTTTTACTGAGATGAAATGAATAATACAGCATTGAGACAAATGGGTTCAAGATGGATTTGTCGACTTCCAGCAGTTACACCACGTGTTTGTCAAGTTCTTCCTATACCTCAGGAAGTTTTAGACCGACTTAAAAAACCTAAACAACCAGTTGAAAACAAACCAAACTAAAATTTTTTACTGAGATGAAATGACCGAAGAAGTTGAAACGGTAGATTTGACACCACAAACAAAAAGTTCAGAACCATTGTCAAAACCTGTCAAAGAACTTACAGATGAAGAGAAAAATTCAATAATAGAAAATGCCAGGTCTGGAAATACAAACCCTAACTATAAAGTCACTTTTCATAAAAATGGAACGGCTAGTATCTCAAAAAAGAAACAGACTCTCACAAATAAAATATTGAAGTCTGAAGGAGCTTTCGAGACAACAGATGGAAAAGTTTACTTCACTGACCAACAGTTCATTATAGAACATCTCATTGACTTAGAGTCGAAATATTCTAAACTTTACAACAAACACAAAAAGTTGAAAGGAAAACAAAAACAAATGGCATATGATATTTATGAAGATGTTGACGACACAACTGTTCCTGCAGGTGGGGTAAAGTCAGAGGAACCGAAAAGTGACGAAAAACCGATAGAAGAAGAAAAACCAAAAACTGAAGATAAACCAAAACCAAAGTTTAGTTTCCAAACTAAACCAAGTCAACCTTCATTAGCTGGTATGGGTTGGCGTCAAAGACTTATGGCAGCAGGCGGTTATGTAAAGTAAAGAAAAAAAATATTTTTTTATTTTTATAAAAATGCCCCCATATAGAATGGACAGAAAGTCTGCTAGAATAAAAGCAGAGTTACAAAGATATGGTTGGAGAGTTTCGAAGAAGTTTAAATATAGGAAGGGAAGACCCATAAAAGTCTATGACAAATTGTCTGGTCTTCGCTACGAAATGGATTTGGAAACAGCACGTGCCAATTATCCAAACAGACTAGAGAGGTTAGAAGAAGAACGTCTTATGGACATGCCTTTCGATGTTAGTGAACCTCAAGTTGAAGGACACGACGGCTTTGCCAGATTCTACTGGAAACATGACGAACAATTGCATCCTTTGAGAAGGAAAAAAGGTAGTGCAGAGGATGGTCATGCTCCCATGGAAAGAACAAGATATGCATATGAAAAGTATCGTGAAGTTAGAAGTCAAATTACATCTGGTCGAACCTTTACAGTAAACTTTGACGAAGGAAAGAACAAAGAAGGCTTCATGGGTGTACTTGCTGCCATACAAGACGGAAATAAGAAAGGACACAATCTCAGATTGACCATAACGGATTTGGATGGTCACATTTACTATGCACATGGCAATGAACAAACAGCCGCAAAACTTCTTGACGCTTTCAAGACTACAAAGAGAGAACAAATGTTTGACTCCGACTCAGACATTTTGAATGCAATTAAAGGAATTGCAAGTGTCAAGTTCGAATGGTACCAACCTAACCCTCAAGCAGTCAGACAACATGCTGGATACTTCCCCTTCATAAATAAGTCTGACATTGACTTGACAAGGTATGGAATTTACAATTCAATTGAAACAATTGTCAATGAACCTTGTATTCTTACATGTCTCAGGAACTCTGGTCTTGTTACAGATGAGAAGAGAAGTATCTTGAGTCATGTGTGAAGACAAGGTACATTCTCAGAGGTCAATTGGCAAAAATTGCACCGTTGGCAAATGTCAATATCCGAGTCAACATACCTACAGCTAAAGGTTCTTCACATGACGACTATGTTGTTGAGTTCAATTTACCATGGTTGAAGATTGTAATTGTCCACAACCACTTCATGTTGAACGAAAGTCTTACAAACCCATTGTTCGGAAAAGGCAAGTGCAACATTGTCAGAGCTGTAAACATTCTTTTCGAGAAAGGTTTGTTGGAACCAATTCCAGATGACAAGCTGACAGAAACTTTTGTACCAAAAGACGAAACAAACTTTTCACTGTTAGCAAGACCAAAAGTTGTTCCAGACAAAGTTCTAGTACAAAAGAAGTACACAATTCCACAAGGAGTTGGATTGTTCGGATACCAACCTGAACCAGAAGAACTTCCAATGAGGTTGCAAGAACTTCAAGATGCTATAAATAAACTTCCATTGAGACATCCAATTGACGTCAAATTGTATTGGAGAGCATCTGAGTTAGGTCAGAAGGTTTTATATGAAACAGGTTGCTTCGACGACGTTTATGAGATAACAGGAGAAGTTTCTCAGAAGATAAGAGACTCACTTGAATTTCCACAAACTGGACCAATTGGTTGCGACAAGTTCGACTCAAACGAAAAGATATACTATGTCGACCTTAACGCTGCATACATGAGGTTTGTCCAATATATTCCGACTGGAATTCCAAACGAAGATGGTGAGTTCCCGGGAAGGAACTATACAGTTGGAAAAGTCATACAACAACTGTATGATATTAGGAAAGCTTCAAACCCCAAACTTGCAATGACACTCAAATTGCTTATGAATTCGACATGGGGATATTCCATTAAGAAACCTCAAGAGATGAAGAGTAAACATTATGAGAAGGTCGACAACTTTGTTGAAAGGTTTTCTCCTTTTGTTTTGAAGTACGAATTCACTCAAGGTCAAAGTGGCTTAGTAACCACATTAAAACCTATTGTCGAACATTGGTCTTACCCTCAGTTCGCAAAGGCAGTCCTTGACGAGTACAACAAATTCTTCTCCGAAGTCAAATCCAAAGTCAAGGTTTACTATGAGAACATTGACGCACTCATGACGAACGAAGAAGGATACAACAAACTCATTGAAATGGGTTTAGTCGGTGAAAAGATGGGTCGATTCAAATTGGACAAAATTTTCACCGAAGTTCATGTCCTCTCCAAGCGTAAGTATTGGGGCATACTTGAAGACGGCACAGAAATAAAACATTGCATGAAATAAAAAATTTTTATATTCCTTCCTAGCTAATTTCCGTTTAATTTCATGGTCGCCCTCGGAGTCTTTGAATCGGACAGGTCGAGTTACACCATTCTTGGTCTCAAACTCATATATAACCTGTTTGTCTGTATTTTCGTCGACTATGGCACGAGACACGAACATTGACCAAACGGACAAAAAGTGTCATTTCGGATGGTCAAGCAGCCAATCGCATTCGAGCACTTCGAAGAAGCCTTACGTTCCAAGGGAGAGGGTGTCTGGTGCAAGGCAGAGGTCATGAAACTCTACAAGCAGTACATCCTCAATGCCTGGGAGGACAAATCGTCCTTGGATTGGCAATTCTACCAACTTCTCTGGGACGACCTCCTACGCAACTGGGATAACGAAAGAGTCCAATTCAAAGGTCGGGAACTAATTTTGCAAATTACCCTTAATTTAACATACTTATCCAAATAAACACCTAAATTTACTTGGGGTTTCCCCCTAAAATAAAATTTTTTTACTCTTAGAACCACTCGAGGTTCTCCTTACGGTTGTTGAGCTTGTCACCGTCAATGTGTCTGACCTTCGTCTTCTTGCCTGGATTTGGAACCCATTGAATTGCGACAAGCTTGCCCATGGAGATTGAACCGCGATTCCGAAGGTTAAGGTTCAAGTGTCCCAAGTTGTTGAGGACTGGGGTAAGAACCTTGCCGGTCTCCCTGTTGCGGATTTGGTATGGGTAGGGTTGGGAAATTTCGTAAGCGTCATCGGCAACAAGGGTTGCCCAAACTTCCTCTTCTTCGTGTTTCTCTTCTTCCTCTTCTTCCTCTTCTTCCTCTTCTTTGATAATACCTTCGGCAATTCTGTGTTCACGAATTACGGTGTTGGAGGTTCTGTCCTTTCGAGTGCCGCCCAATGGTGTCAATCTCTTCGAAAAACGGTAGATGAGTCGGGCAAGGTTTTGGTTCTCTATGTTGTATTGGCGCAAGGTTTCCGCGAAATCGTTCAGGACTTTCTTATTGGAAGCTTGGTTCGTGAGGACTTCGACTTTGAGATTGGTTATCTCTTCCATAAGACTACTTTGGAGAGTCTTAATGGTGTTTGACAGATGAGCGTTCAATTGGGCAATTTGAATTTGAACTGGGCGCCTGTCTGTCAACCCTTGAAAGGACATCTGCCATTGAGTTTGGCTTCGGTGCTTGTTCGGACATCGAAAAAATGAAGTGGTTTGAGAATGACGGTTTTACTTCAAAAAGCTTGTTATGACAGTTATGTCATACAACAAGTTTAAAATAATATCTTGTTCTTCTTCTGAACGTTTGTTGTCTCTTCCGATAAAAGTTTGGAACATGAGAACCAAAAAACGTTTTTTGAGATTGTGGAAGAGTTCAGGCAAACGTTCATATATTCCGGATATGTTGGGAGCAGTTCGAAACATCTGAGCTGACTTTCGGACAAAATTGGGACAATGTCAACAAATTCATCTTTGGTCGGACTGCTTGAAGGTAAGTCCCTTACATGTAAGTAGCTCTGGTAAAGTCTTCTCATTTCTGCTAACTTTTGGAGTATAGCTTCGTAGTTTAGAAGTTTTAATTTTAAATGTCTTATTCCACTCTTGACATCTAAACGGTAACTATCCATGAGGTCAAGAGTAGCTTTGGTAGCTTTAAGTGGAGCTATCTGTTCCTTGACTCCTGCAATTTTGGTTGCAATTGTGATTTGAGCTCCTTCAAGTTCGCCGTCTATGTCGTTCTCAACGTCTTCAATTATGGCTTGAAACTCTTCATCGGTCCATTGAGATTGGTATGGGACGAATTTAACTTGCTTCATTCAAAAAATGAAAAAAATGTTTTTACTCTAAACGTTAAGGTTTACTGAACTGGTTGGATGTCGCCTTCACAGGTTATGTAGAATGGTTGACCCGAGAAGTGAAGGAGACCCTTGAGAATTTGGTTCATTCTTGGGAAAGGGTTCTCTCTGTTTGGAAGTAGTATCCAAGGACGCTTGGCAAAGAACTTGAGAAGAGCTTCTTTCTTTGCTTGCTTTATGTCGTCGTAGGCTGTCCCGTCTGGTATTTGAATTGGAATTCCAGTCGAAGTCTCGAGATTCAAGGCAGCCCTTCCCGTTATCCAACCGTTAACAAGCTTGCCTTTTACATTCTGCCTGAGGAAGTCTTTAACAAGCTCGTTAATTTCAATTAGGTAAATTGCCTCGTCGGTAGGTTCGACCTCGACCATTGCTACTGTCAGTAAAAGTACTGCTACTGTCAGTAAAAGTACTGCTACTGTCAGAAAAAGTACTGCTACTGTCAGTAAAAGTACTGCTACTGTCAGTAAAAGTACTGCTACTTGCAGTAAAAAGGAAAATTTGAGAGGGTTTTCGACGATAAAGTACTGCTACTGTCAGAAAAAGTACTGCTACTGTCAGAAAAAGTACTGCTACTGTCAGAAAAAGTACTGCTACTGTCAGAAAAAGTACTGCTACTGTCAGTAAAAGTACTGCTACTGTCAGTAGCAGTACTGCTAGTAGCAGAGATTTTTATCGTTGTGGTCCGACGGTTAAGCCACAAACGAATGTCCGACGTCCCACCAACCGAGTCCATTCCCAAACCAGAGGAACCTAAAGAACCACAACAGTCTCCTCAGCAACCTCAGTTCCAGCAAGTCCCTCCACCAAATTACTACCAATTTCCACCTCAAGGTTACTACCAATTTCCACTACAAGGCTTCCCGAACTACCCTCCTCAGCCTATGCCTTACTTCCCCAACCCTTGGATGTTCCAGCAAGCTCCACCCAACAATTCCAATCTCAATCCAAATCGAAGAGAGACCAAGAGTTCGAAGAAGGTCTGAACCGTTTACGCAAAGATTATGCCACAGCCCCTATGGAAGACGACAGGCTTTCAGTCTCTTCCCTCAAATCGACCGATTCGACTCGTACCACAGATTCGGTTCGTGACCGTGAAGACTACCTCAAGCAGTCTGAGAGACTCTTCATCCTACAATCAATTTACAGTTGGAGCTCTCAAGAACATGCGCAATTACGAAGGTCAGACACCAGCTGGAGACCGCAAAACAGACGTACTCGCAAGAGCCGTCCAACTGGTCAAGACAAAGACTGAGATAGTCGACTTCATTCTTGCAGCTTGCCCATACAAGTAAAAAATAAACAATTACGAGTTAAACTTTTATTCTTTCTTTTCTGAGTTGTTTAGAGCTGGTTTCTCTTGTAGGAACCTTTCGTACTCTTCCATGGTCATGTAATTGCGAATTTGGTACGCAATTCCAGGTTCGTTGTTTTTGAACCTTACGTATGTAACGCTTCCATCCTCCTCAGGGAAGTAAGCTGCTAACATCTGACCAAGTTTTCTCGGTGACTCGGAGCTCATAAAAATGTCACTTTTTAAACGTTAAGTTTTTAGTCTTATTTTACCCTTTGTTTACCCTTTGTTTGTCAAGGTAGTATTGGAGTGCAATTTCTCCAAATTCTCTGTGTCGGAGTTCTTCAGCATTTTCCAAGGTGTTCCTGGAGAACTCAAAGAAGTTGTCAAGAACATACTGCCATGCTGCTCTTCTGAGTTCGTCGGTATTTTGGAAGTGTTGCACCTTCGAGTCTTCGGACATGAAAAAATGACACTTTTTCTATTAAACCGTTTTGGCATTTCTCATGAGTGAGTATAGTTCTGCCGAACCATTGGAAGAGAAGAAGTACCCTTGCTGGCAAAAGACAAAAATAGTTGCCTTAGTTGTCATTGCAATTGTACTCGTAATTGAATTCATTGTACTTCTCTTCACGTACCTAAAACTCAGCAATGGTATTTGCTTTAAGAAGCTACCATCTTACTAAGACTAAACACTTAGATTTTTCAAGCTTGACTTTTTACAATTTGAATTTTGTTGCTGAATTCAGCAACAAAATTCTTGATTTCAGGGATTTTTTTGACGAAGTGTAAATCTTCACTTCGTCAAAAAATGGCATAAGATTGCTTCCCTCGGAAAACCGAGAGAAGACTTACCGCTACTGAAAGAAAAAATAACAGAGTATTTTGACAACTTCAAACAAGTAGGGTAGATGCACTCTTTATTTTTCAAGCTTGACTTTTTACAATTTGAACTTTGTTTGCGTAGATATGAATTCTGAAAGAAGTATGAGGGTCTTGTATGACTTTATACTTCTCCCATAGTTCATGTCTGTCAAACTTACCTGCCATGGACTCTTTCATAAGTTCCATGAAATCGTCTTCGGACAATCCGGGGAAAAGTATTATGTCAGTAAGTATTCATTTAACATCCTTACTTAAACTCTTTGCTGTCTGTACACAAATGACAACTGAGATGTTAAAGTGTCTGAGCTTCTTAAGAATTCGACACATATCTTGTTCTCTGTTCTTTAACAAAGGATGAGAAGCAAAGTCATCTAAGATAAGAAGACATCTATGAGGGTAAGTCTTCCAATCGTAAGATTGCAATTTCTTCGAAATGTATTCTATCTCTTTCTGTTTGTTTCTGAAGTGTTTCTTCTCTAATATTCTCTGCATTTCCTCATTTGGGTCTTTAAACTTAGAATTTATATACTCATTTATAGCATTATACTTCAAAACTCTTCTTTGGTACTTCTTTATCCAATCTAACAACTCAGTATCCTTTATACATACTAACTTAGACTTCTTTATAATATCTTTGAACGAATTGACGGTTTGGTCAAATTGACCAGAAGTCGAACAAATAACAACTAACTCATAGAATGGGTTCTTCTCATCTAGTTCTTGTTGTTGTGCAGCCATTTTAAGATAAGTGAAAGTCTTACCCGACCCAGGTGGTGCAATTAGACCTGTTATACCATTCTGAGCAAATAAGAACTTGTCATGTATAGGCTTTATCTGAGCATTTTCTAACTTCCTCTTGTTCTTGTTTAAAACATTCTCAAATTTCTTGTCAATGTCAGCAAACTTTTTTTCTAACATATTTTTAGAAAAATTAAAATTTTTATCTTTTAGAAAATGTCTAGCGATTTCGCTATCTATATTCGAGACAAGCTTTTTGACAGCAAAACATCTGTCGACCATAAAATCTTACATAGTGTAAACAAGAAAGGTGAATTTGTTCTAAAGTTCTGTTTCTGGGAATATGACAAGAACCATAAAACATTACAGAGCAGTCTTAAAATTTGTCAATGACAGACTTGTTGACAGAGATGACGCCGATTGGAAAGATGAAGTCCAACAAAAGTTCTTAGAATGCAAAGAAGACACATGCGCTGTTCTTGAAGATGAAATAGAAAACAGAATAGAGAGCTATTAAAGGACAAAGAACTTTTACAAAATATGGTTCGAGAAATTTGACATAACTCCACCAGAAAAGAAGAGAAGAGAGAAAAGAAAGAAAAGAAAGTAGAAGAAGAGAAGAAAGAACCTGAACCAGTTCCAGAGAAAAAGAAATTTGACATGTAAAAATAAAATTTTATTTTTAGAACATTTCTGGGTCAATGTCAATGTTCTCTTCCTCTTTAGGAGCAAACACTGGCTTAGACTCTAAAATCTTTTTACCCAATTTACCTTGAACTTCAACTATCTTAGACTCATAATATTCATAGTCGTCTGCTTTCTTTGGTTCATAAGGTATAACAAGTTTGTATGCTTTGCCTTCTTTAAGGTTTGAGAACCTTCTGTCAAAATTTTCTTTGACTGCTAACAAACCTTCTATGTCTAAGTCTTCAAATTTCGCACCATTTTTAGTCACAATAGCAAACTTAACTGGTTCGATGTTCCAAACTTTGCTGAATGAAGACTTTTCAAAATGGTAGAAGTAAACATTCAAATATGCGAATGGGTCTAGTTCTTCTTTAAGTCCTGACATGTACTTGTTTACTGAGATGAATTTGTCATCTTTTCTATCGGATAAAAAAATATTTTTTTTAAAATTTACTCAAAAATTTTTCTTTGTATATACACCGTTCTGAACATCTAAAAGACTTTTGACATTTGCCAAGAATGTTCGTTTAGAGCTGCCATATAACCATATTCTTGACAATATTGTTTATACGAATCGTACAATGACCTTTCATCTAAACACAAAGTCAGTTTCATCTATGAACAGTTCATATACACTCTTGTTTGCTTCTAACAATGTTTGTCTCTCTTCGGTATGTGGAATTTGTCTTGGATTGAACTTAGAAATATCTAATGTCATGAAATATGAGAACAAGTGGTTGTAAAAGTCAGATGTCAAAGTTTCTGCTAAGTCGTCAAAATATTCTGTATCTTGCATATGAGAATCTGACGTTCTGACAACTACATATCTTCTGTCAGAACTTTCTAACTTCATCGGAACAGTATTGTTTGAAACCATAATGAAGTTTGCAACATTTTCACAAACTCTTTGGTCTTTATACTTTCTTTCAACAACTCCAACTTTGTCTGTTATAAGACTCTTCAAAGCATCTGAGTTTCAAAACTTTTGTTGTATCTATACTTTGAAGTTCATTGCAAACTATAAGTTTCATATTCTCTATTGAGGAGTTAAACTTGCCACAGATGTTTTCTAAGTTTGTCATATTCGGTTCGAATAACCTTCTAACAGTTTGCATAAATATCTGTAAAGAAAGTGTTCTTACCTGTTCCTTGTTTTCCAATTATAATGAGAGCAGTTTCATTTTTAGCACTTGGATGTTGTAAGATGTTTGCAAACCAACATAAGATATACTCATAAACCTTTTCGTTTCCATTGCATATAATTTCTTTGACATGGTCTAACCAAGCTTCTATAATATTTTCTTTCCATTCTACTTGTTCGTATTTATATCCAGTGAAGATAGAATAGAAGTTTGGAGAAGGTGTATAGAACTTTATACCTCGAACTGAAAAATCTTCTAACTTTGACAATAAGATATCCCAAGCATCTAACATCTTCATCCAACTTGTACAACTTTTATTTTCTTAAGTTTCTGTCTACATTCTTGTTCTGAAACTATTGTTGCTCTTGGTTTGTTAAAGACAACATCCCATTCTTTCATGACATAACATTCTGGGGCAGAGTCGACATAAATGACTAAACGTTTCAAATTCTCGACTGCTTTGTTATAGTCTCTAAATGGACACATATTTCTGAATGCTTGGAAGTCATAAAAATCTGAAACATCTATTCTGTACATTTTTATAAAAATAAAAAAAAATATTTTTTTATTCTTGACTTTGTTGTTGCATTTGTTGCATTTGTTGTTCTTGAGCTATTTGTTGTTGAAGTTGTTCTTGTAATACAATACTTTCACCAGTTGCATCTTCCAATTCGAAACTTTCTGCCGTCATTGACAAATACATAGGACATAAAAGTTTTACAGGAACAAAGTTTGCGTCAACTAATGTCAACGTTATACTTGCCAAAGTGTTTGAGTTCACTAAGGTTGAAAATTCTGCATTCGAATGAACAATAGGCAAACCAGCAGAGAAAGTATTGTTTATACGCATAAGTATCTTTTGGTCATAATAGTTTCTGTCGACATTCGAATAACACTTTGAACCTAAGTTTGAAACAATATATAAGATTGGTGTGCTTAAGTCAATGGAATAGACATTCCTTGTATGACACCTTTTCCTGTTATAGGAAACTGTTGGTAGTAAAAACCAGAATAAGTTTTGTATTATAGCTCATATCGTTTATAGTAAACTCAGTCGGACATCCAAACATAATGAAACCTGCTCTAGTTGCAGCACATGTTACACCGTCCTTAAAGTATTAAATAAGTCAACAAAACCTGTTGGTGGTATATCTGAGTAAGTATCTTCAAAGGAGTATTTTTTACCATTCACAACAATAAAGTCTTCTGGTGTCAAAAGAGCAAAACAGGCTTTAGTCGTCATTGTGTTTAAGGTTAGTTTACAATATCGTCCTTGAGGACTTTGTAAGTTTGTTGTTATAGAATTATATGACTCAGGGTTTTTAGTCGTAATAGTATAAACCATTATGTCTTCTGCCATTTACTTAGCAAATAAATTTTAATGAAATGTTGTGGTCGTCAAATATTTTTATGACGTCTGGGAAACTATATTTTAAGTTCAACGTTTCACCTCCTTTCATAACGTATATCTTGTCAATGACATTATATGAAACACCACAGCAACTAATGTCGGGTTCTATTTCTTTCTTTGATGTTTATATCGAGTCTGCCTCTGTCAAAGTTTCAATAGTTCTTTCAAAACTTCATGAGGTGCAATGACATATGAGTTCACTTTTACAGGGTTGTGTTCGACCAAGTTTAACATATACCTAAAGCTTGACAAATCTTCTCCGAGTTTGAAGTTTGTCTTTCAGTTGTTGGTAGTCGTTTCGAATATCTGCAACAGAACTTAAGTCTTCTGTTAACTTCAGGATATGTTGGTTCTTTTACAGGAACAATTGTTATATCCATCTTCGTCTTCGTATGGTTTCCCCACTTCAACATTCTGTCTTGACATTGACATAACACTTTGACTGTTTGTTTGAGTTGGTGAATTAACTTCAAATCTGCCACCGCCATTAAACCTTTTGAAACACTTACGCTTCTATTTCGGAAATGACATTTTACTTAGAATAAAAAGATGGACGTATTCGGATATCTCTTCGAATTGAAGCAGAACAAAGTTATACACACAAAACAATACAAAATACATTGACAGAAATAGTTCTTTAACAAACAATGGAAAATGTTATAGAATAGCATTTTGCTGAACCAATATTTTCATAAAGCAAAGAAAGTTGGTATAACTGAAATGGTGAAAGTTCTTGAAGCAGACAAAAATATAACTTCAAAACTTACAGATATTTCTAAAGGTAAGTTTATCTTAAAACAATATTATGTCAAAACTGGGACTGTCAATATTTGACGAGAGAAGTCAGTTCAAGAGACTAACTTACTGACCATTGCTTGCCAAAAATCTGCTCATCGGAAAGCTTTATGCCATCTAGCAAGCATTTCAGAACGAATCTTAATCTTCCGTGAAAAGTGGCTATTGGTCATTTTTAACTTCTTTGTACTCTCAATTCATGGGACCTGTCCTCTGTCACCGTATATTGTATTTGGTAACTGTTACATCGAACGATGATATGAAATACGCCCATTAAAGTCATTCTAGAGTCAGAAATGGAATGCCAAGCACATAAAGTTTGAAGCGGTCTCGCAACTTTGTATATTTGTAAGTTTTTTGCACACTCTGTAGATATGAAGTACCCAACTGTTCACAATATGGCAAATAATAGTGAACTTTGCATTTCAGGCGTGTTAAATAGTTGTTGTGAATTTTGTGTAAAGCTTCCATAGCATCTAAAGTGTCAGATTGGTGATGACCTGATATCCTCAAGCTGTAGAAATATTATCTTCCTGAAACTATCATTGCCAGAGCTATGTACTATGATTAATCTTAAATACCAGGGTTGTAAGTATAACAGATATGCATTTATATTCGCTAGTAAGTAAACATATAATCTGATTATTCATTGCATTGTAAGAATATCATTGTTCTTTAAGACTGCTGTCTGGATTCTTGGTTTGAAAACTTCTTGACAAAAGCCCAATGCAGATTTAATCTTACGAACTCTATGATGCAGAAATAGATAGATTTAGAAGACCGAGAGGTGAAACGTTGAACTTAAATATAGTTTCCCAGACGTTAATAAAAATATTTGACGACCACAACATTCATTAAAATTTATTTGCTAAGTAAATGGCAGAAGATAATGGTTTATACTATTACGACTAAAAACCCTGAGTCATATAATTCTATAACAACAAACTTACAAAGTCCTCAAGGACGATATTGTAAACTAACCTTAACACAATGACGACTAAAGCTGTTTTGCTCTTTTGACACCAGAAGACTTTATTGTTGTGAATGGTAAAAAATACTCCTTTGAAGATACTTACTCAGATATACCACCAACAGGTTTTGTTGACTTATTTAATACTTTAAGACGGATGTAACATGTGCTGCAA